TGAAACTCGGATAGAAAGGTCACTGATTCAATACAATGGATGACATTCAGATGAATGTGACAGCAGAACTGAATACCCTCACAGCAACTGAGTTTTCCAAGTCTTTCCAAATTTTACATAAATGCTGTACGTATATTCAGTCCCTTGGGGACTATTCTGAGACAAACACGTAATAAACGTTGTCAGATAGATTGTTTTTACTTTATTTTAGTCTCATTACTTTTTTGCCATACTGTGTAAGGTAAACCACTCTGACAAGTGACATGATGGACTGTGACTGCACTCGAATGTCACTCTCATCTATCTTATACTAATTCACTACCAAACCAGAACATAAACTATAATGTTCATATCACTAGTGGGTTTTCAGTTATGAAAGATATGTGTTTATAAATTGGCCCATACAATAAAAATACTGCATATTTATAACAGTAATAAACATAACAGGGTCAATAGCAAGATGAAAATATTTTTGTTACAAGACAATTTCCCACTATCCTAATGCCTTTCACATTAATGCGATTGGAAGCAACCACAGCTTTTCCATTTGGCACTGCATATTCAAGAAACAACCACTTCAAAAAGTGACAATCAAGCTCAAAAACCTTTCATTAATTATAATATGTAATCCTTACACTACATTATACGGAGTATTTTAAAATGTCTGTACTCACTGGAAGAACACAACGTACAGATTTTACTATAATGTACACTACACAGAAAGTGCAAATCAACAGACCAGAATATATAAACACACATTCTTTATAGACAGGTAAGAACATAAATCAAACATAGTGTATGTATTAGGTTTGGCAATTCTCTGAATGTTTATAACACCACAAAAATGTAATACAAAAAGACAAATTATACCCCATTACTCCTGACTGTCCAAATTGGAGAAGCAACAGTGAGACAAAGGAGATTAGCAAAATTCATGCTCTTAGGTCATGTCCTTCAACAGCCACGGATGCAGGCTCAGTAATGGATATTTTATCAACAAAAATCCTACCAGCCAATGGGAATAATGAATTAAAATGTGACTAAAATGTTACTGGTTTTAAACAGTTCACACACAATATATAAACATTTCAGCCCCACTGCTCAATATATTTTCTGGAGAATGTGCTTTGCTCATTCACAAATTCACGTGTATGGCAAAGAACAAGATGTGAATGATAAAATAAGATGAAAGTAAACACATGAAAGTCCTAAAACTCAAGATGATTTACAAGCATGTGTCTTCATGTTCTGAAGTACCAATTCAGTGTCATACCTGATCACAAGAATGTATCATTACTACTACGATGGCACATGCAACTTTCAGGATTGCACCTGGACCTGCAACCTTATGATGAGCGACTCAATAACTCTGCTTACCACACAAAGAACTGTTAGTTTGACCTACTGATTGTAACTTACATTCCAGATTGTATCTGGGAGAATCGTACAGATGATAATTGGTTATGCTACAGTGATATCACCTCATTTTGGCTGCAAAGCTTGAAATAAGGACAACACAATCCTAGTATGTGTGTATTTGCTTTGCAATGACTAAAGTTTTTCAGTCATTTATAATATTTATAATGCTGTCAAACTAAATTCCAGATGTTTCAAGCAAATTCCAGCTACAAACTTAACACCTTTGTTTATAATCAGAGTACTACACATTTATGATATGAACACAATAAACATAAGATGTCTGTATTCTGGGTTGTTGTGCCTCGTAGTCTGGTAGAATAGTATTGACGTTTCAGAGGCAACAAGGGCCTCTGAAACATCAGTAAACTTCTACCAGACTACGTGGCTCAACAACCAAAAAGACAGCCATCTTCAGATTCACTGCCACGAAAACCTCAAATCCTACATCACAATAAACACATCACTAACAAACTACAATTACTATGTAGCATAGAAATCCTCCTTCACTCAGATTATATATAGCCCACATTACAGCTATCCAATAACCATACTATCAAAAATAAATTAAATGCCTCTTCCAGTAACATTATGTGATGAATGTAGTACTGAATTATTTAATGGCCCACACAGTCTGAAATTAAAACTGACAAAAGCAGTCAAGCTTCTAAGGATGGAATATGGCTCAGGTTTATCTGTACACTTTCAAATATAACTCTTATCATACTTGTTAGATTCACACTTGCACAGCAATAACTAAGTTGCAAGGAAAAGCATAAACCCACAATTATCAACCTATGCATTAGCCTTCCAATATGGGAGGAAAATCTGACAAGTTAATCTAAGGATGACTTGAGAGAAAACAACAAAAAGGATCTGCCATTATAAAACATCCATATATTTATGAACACTAAAACTTTTGTATGCAGGAAAGAGTAATGATATATGTCAATGTAAATTAATTCTCCAGATATTATTTTCACATGTGGATGTCTATGGGTTCTTTTGGCAGAAACTCAATACTTGTGTTTTCCCTTACATGTTAGCCTATATGCAGAGGGTAGCAGAACAAGAACAAACTAAGAAAACAAGCAAAACAGAGACAGCACCGAGTCTGATGATTTCTGTGTTGACTCACTGCTCGAACCCTCCTCGTTCTCAGAGACAACACTTACCCTCACCTATGGAAACAAATCAAATCAACCCTCAACGTCAGGCAAGGATGCCCTCTCTCATAATTGTTATTTGATATTTACGTTGATGCAGCTGTAGAAGAGTGACACAGAAATATAACATTTGGACTAAAAAGAAATTATGTTTTGTTAAATACTATACTTTTTGCTGATGATCAGGTCATTATTACTGAATCAGAAAATAAATTACAGATAGCTGCATACAATCTTCAGATTATCATGAAAGAATATAACTTAAAAATTTCTAGCACAAAAAAAATGTATGGCTTTTCAAGGAGTTGAGCATGCACGATGTAAAGTAGTAGTCAACAATGACATAATAGAGAAAGTTGCATCATTTGATTATTTAGGTTGCAACGTCTCCTATTGTTACAAAGAAGATGTAAATATAAAAATAACTAATTTCAGAAAACGTGTGGCACAATACGTCGAACACTTAAAAAAACAAAATGCTAAGAGAGACTCAACTCAAATTTTATAAGGTATTGGCGGTACCCCAGTCAACATATGGCTGTGAAAATTGGTCCCTGACCCGCTCAGATAAACAGATAAGCAGAAGATTGAGTCCAGTGAAATGAGATTTTTACGAAGTGTTGCTGGCTACACATTATTTGATAAAGAAAGAAGTGAAGATATACGAAACAAACTAAAAATATTTAATCTTAATGAAAGAATTCAACAACAAAAACAGAACTGGTATGAAAACATAACAAGAATGGAGTCGGATAGGCTACCAAGGAAACTTTTAGATTATAGACCGACTGGTAGGAGAAATGTAGGAAGACCGAGGATAAGGTGGATAGAAGACATATAGAAAACAACCCTTGAAGTCGGAACAGGCCGCAGGTCTAAACCGTGAAGTTGAAGAAGCAAGTGTTTTAACAATGACCTTTTCCTATTGTTTGTAACAATATGTTCCAAAAATGATTTCCACTACTGCAACAATGTGCTCCAACAACGGCCCTGGGTCACATGGGTTGCCTACTTCCTTGGACAAAACATAACTTGTTCTATGCTCATGTTAGAGCGTAAAGGACACCTAAAATTTGGAATATATGGATCATGACTACTATTTGTTTGAACTTAGAGTGATAAAGGAACAAAGTTCAATTTTCATAGAAACAGTGGCATAAGGAAGAACAAATTTTTATACTATGAATGAATAGCTTGTTTAGAAGACTCGATAATTTATATTGTAAAAGGACAGCTTGTTAAAAGACTATAATAATTAACAAAGAGTATTCAACCAATTATTGTTGGCCATCAATTTATATCCAATAGTAATCTTAATAATACTTAAGTGCACATATCCAATAATATGTTAAATAAAAGTCTATCATATCTCTGATAACTGGAAAATATGGCTAATAACTGTGCTGAGACACAGAGAAAGTATTCAGAAGCATGTTACATACATTTTATGAAGCAAGTTTTGTTTTCATTCTGACCTCTCACGTTCTTAAAATCAATCTGCTCAATATATTACAACAAATGTTAACAACATACTATAATGTAAAATTCTTCCAGAACCCGACTTATCACTTATATTCTGCAAAATATAAACTGCGTGTCAAAACATGTTACTTATATCACAATTTTCAGAACTGAAAGAAAATTAGACAAAAGATAAGTTAAGTAAAAATTAAGATATGAGAATAACAGCATTTATCAACAACATAATTAACCATTAATGACCTAATCTCTCGGTAGTTTAAACCTTAAAAACCATGTTTACTAATGTCCTATCTACCCAATATGCTATTTGAATTCCATGTTTTCCCATGCTACAAATGCCTACAGAGGCATTACATTACAAATAGTTAAATGTAAGATTTTAAAATAACTGCATTTTCTGATTACTCATATTCCCATCTCCTGGACAACCCTGGATAATTTTACAAAACAGGTTCCAGTACTTTCACACTTCATGCAACAGCAAGTTCAGTTATAGTTGGCACATTACCAAACTCTGAAATTAGGAAAGAGATCTCATCTTCCATTCAGGTAAATACAGCAATACTTCTTTGACCCACTAAGCCTACATTTCATCTTGTTTATGTAACTACGTGGTTATTTCCTTCTCAATAAATTATCTTCTAGGTCTAGAATATGAATAAATTTGATTCCTACCTCCTCCCCATTGGCCTGCTCTGTTGCCTTTTCAGGATAAACTCCAGCACGTAAAAATGAGGCTTTCCATGAATCCACATCATCTTGATTTTCACAGCTGAGTTCAAGTTGCTTGTAATCCTAAAATTAAAACAAAAGTACAGTACACATGCCCATATCACACGCGTTCTCTATAATTTTATACAGCCCTCAATCTGCACAAACTTCTTATCAACTCCAAACAATCTCCAACAGTCCCTGTAAGAGAACTGTTATGCTCTGTGACTTGCCTAAGCCCACGAGCACACCTACATAAAGTCCTATAAACAAAAGTCCAATTACTATTTGTACTTACCTTGTACACATTTCTTCCCTCAGGATTGAACAGAGCAAAGGTATGTCTTCTAGACATAAAACCCTGCTCCACATCACGAAGCTTTAACCCATCCAGGGGCAACATGTACTTCTTTTCACGCTCCTGTAATCATAGTAAAGGCAGATAAAACCTGGTAGGATTTGAGGTTTTCACAGTGGTAAGTCCAAAGACAAACATCCTCAGACAAAATCTCTTCCTTTTAAATATCTCTACCTAATGAAGAGAACTGTAAGCTGTGGGAAGACAATGGATTTACATAATAATCTATTGTTACACAAGAGATAACCACATCAAACAGATTTATTCATTAAATGAAATGTTAATTTCTAAAACAAAAGATAATTATAGGGTTCCATCATTTCAACAGTGTCAGTACCTTGTAAACTCATACTTGAATGACTGAATCCAATGCAGATTAATGTATTCCCTCCCTACGTGGCAACAATATGATTTGGAATCCAAGTTAAGCTATAATTCAACATCATCATGTCCATCCATCTCTTATCATTTCAATCATCCTATTATACAATCACTGGGAGTAAACTGTAGTTCACCTTTGTCACACTTAGAAGTGGAATTCTTCACTCTTGCAAATCAAACAGAGCTCAGATACTTCAAAGACAATATATGGAAAAATTCAGAAATAAAAATTCAACTGCACTTACGACGGCTAAATTTTACATAAAATAAAAACAGATTAATCTTGATTTAACAATAATTTATAAAATTCAGAAAAATGTTCCATCAAACAGGCACTTGTTACATTTGAGAATGATTAAAACATATATTTTCCAAGTCTGTCTCCTTACTTCTAATTACTGAACTCTCTTGACAGAAAAAGCACACAGTCAAACCAACTCTTACATTTGTCTGATTCACTGCACAAAGTACATACTAGACAAGACTGGCAGTTTACTGGAAAAGTCCTGCCTATGATGTCCTGTTCCAAGAAACAAAAACCAAAAGATTCTCTTCTTATAAGATACATAATGGGAATCTTTAATACAAAATTCTACATCCTTCATATATGATGCTTATTATTATTAACATTTAAACTGTTCAAATTAAAACCAAGAAATGTTAGAAATCTGGGATTCTGTTACAATGACACTCACTTCTTCATCCTTAAACCATGAAATATTTTCTGATGTAAGGACAAACCAGTAGTCCCGGGAGCCACCTTTCATTATGCCCAGATTGTGTATGCACATGTACCCCTTGCGGATCACCTGATTCCCCAGCTTTCGACCAGCCTTCACCGAGTTTTCTGATGATTGTTGAGCACTACAAGAAAAAAGAAACCACATGAACTGTACAAATTCTACAATATTTCATAATTCACATTTACAAAGCTGTAATTTTAACCACTGTATGAGCCTAAAACTTGGTCCCTCACCCAAATGGTAGAACATACACTGAGGGTGTTTCAGAACAGAAAGGTAATATGGGGTGGACTATTCATGTTAACCATGTTAGCCTGGCTAACATGGCTGACACACTTAATATGAATGATCCACCCCTGGTGCTTGATGGAGAAATTTACACAATATAGAGCTTCATAACTTGTATTATTCACCAAATATCATTAAAGGAACCAAATCAAGGAAGCTAATATGTGCAGGACATGTACTATGCATGCAACTTACTTGGCAAACCCAATGAAGTCCTCATGATTGGTGTTCATGTAGGCCAATTCACAATCAATTAGTAAGATGATCTGTTCCTTACATAGCTGCTCTCTCTGACGTATGTATGTTGTTATGATTCGTTCTGTTTCCTCTCGTAAGCGTGGATACCTTGACATCTAAAAATAAATACAAATTTTTAATGAATGTAGTATATTTTATTGACTGTAACAGTAACATAATCTAGAACAGCATCAAACTGAAAACAACAGTCAGAATACAGTCAAGAAAACAGATAATTCTGAAACTGCACCAGGCCACTGTAGCCAAAACATAAACTAATGAAATTTACTAATAGTCTTAGTACATTACGAGAAAAGTCATTTCAGAAAACAAATAATATGATTACTAAACAAGAAGTTATGCACAACAGGTATTATGTACATCTCAAAATAACTGTAGTTGCAAACATGTTAAAACAATTTAGTTTCATTTTATCTCCCACTTTGCTTTCAAGTAAGCCATTATGAAGGTCCAGAAAATCAGGAGGGACTGGAATTGAATGGGGCAGAACAGCTTCTGGTCAATGATGACAATGATTACAAGTTACTGAGCAAAGATATAAATGCCATAAAGAAAAAGAAAAACTCTCTACTAAATGCTATTGAGAAGACTGGTCTAGAATTAAATGCAAAGGTGGTACACACTCATGACTCATCACCAGAATGCAGGATAGTGTAATGAAATTACACTAATGAAGAAATTACAGTCTGATTAAGATCTGAAAATGATTGTTGATAATTTAAAAATTTGTTACTTCCTACCTGTTACCCAAAAACCTACAGATAAGCATATACAAAACCATAATTCTATCTACTGTTCTGTCCAAGTATGAAACTAGGTCTCTCACCTGCACAGACATAACACATACATGGAAACAAAGTGCCAAAGAGAATATATGGGCCTAAGAATTAACAGCAAAATCGGAAACTTCTTTAAAAGATCACTGAGAAGCTTAATAAGTACTCTCTTCACCAAACATAATCAGGGTGATCAAACAAAGGAATATGATGTGGGGAGAGCATGTGACACTCATAGGAGACACTAAAAACACATACAAAATTCTGATCAGAAACCTTGAAAGAAAAACAACACTAGGAAGACCTAAGCATTGATGACAATGTATTAAGAAACAATGTGCAAGTGTGTGTGGACTGTTCCAATGGTTCAGAAGAGTGTTCACTGACAGGCACTTGTAAACCCAATAATGAAACTCCAGGTTCCAGGGAGACTATTAGCTTCTCAATAATACTGATCCTTGTAGTTAGGTCTGTCAAACAGTAGCACACTTACCCTGTCTGTGCACACTCGAACCACATTGGACAATTCAGCTACTACCAAATCTACGCACTTCAAACTAGGTTCTTTTAAGCGGGCAATTTGCTTTTTCACGATAGCTTCAAAAGCCATATCTGGTGTGAACAGGCCAACTCGGATACCTGGAATTAAAGAAACCAAATGAAATTTAATTTTTCACTTGTACTGTTTAGTTATGGAGTTCATGTAATTCCAATAAAATGAAACTATCTATACCTCAAATATTCATAAAAGTTCAAATAGATCGCACTCACTGCCAAAACAAGGGGCCATTTTTTTCTTCTTCTTGTAGCAGTTCATATGAATAAAGTTCCTCCATAAAACATTTGAAAGAAATATGATTTGAACCAGATAACAAACTGTACACACAACACCTATTGCACTCACATTTTTCCAAATATTCTAAACACAAGATTTTTATTAATAATTTATTTACTGTTATCCTTTGACTAGAGCTCTTTCAAAAATAAATGTAGACAAAACAAAACCCTAGCCCTACCACCCTTATAATACAAAAAGCAAGAAAAAAATCTTGTACTCTATTAAACTCTGCTTGAAAACTCATCTCACATGTACACACAGTAATAATATGCACATTCCATTACCTTACATAATATATGTACTTTCTTAATTATTCTACTGACAACATAAAATAAGACAATGCTGACCATGAATATTTCTGATTGCAAAAGCAATTTCTCTCCTGAGTTCCTTCTCATCAAATTCCATCTTCACAATCTCAAATGGGAATCGTTCATGGAAAAGTCTGTTAATTTTTGCTCCACCAGACAACTCCATTGTATTGATTTGTGCTGATCCTGAACCCTCAATCGTACGTTCAAAATCTGATTGTAGTTGTTGTATCATCCTGAAAATACATTTAAAACAAACCGATTATTTCACAATGCCAATCAACTTCTCATGTTATGTAACATGAAATAAGGTGGTGATGAACAGATATAGTAAACAGAATGGGATAGAAGAAAATTGGTCATGACCTACACCACAGGTGGATAAAATTTCCCTTGAAACGGTCAAACGAGAACTTAAACGGAGTTCGTTAGCTTTCAGTAATAGATTTCCATTAGCATTACCACTTACTTACTTCATGAGTTCACAGCTTGAATAAAATTTTCAATTAGACACCCCCCCCAGCATTTCTATGCACCAATTTCAGCAAGTTACTTACTGCAGCATAGCCTTCGTCTTGATAGCTGGATCATCCGGCCGTATATGTTTGTACTGTTCCACATCCTTCTCAAGAGTCAGCAGTTGTTTCTGTACATCATAACATAAATAAAAACAATTTCTAGAAGAGATGAAATGTAAAATATCTATAATATACCATCAGAACAAAAGACATCATAATTATAAAATTCAAAGTTAATACAATTAAAATGCTGCCTGCAGGGTTACACAAATGTGCCTAAAAAATTTATTCAACTTCAGACATCAAAAAATATTACACAATTTGAAATTTGTAATCCAGCAGGCAATTCAAAATCTGTTTCATATGCAATTTTTAAACATCATTCATTCATTCATTGAGGCAGTACTGTACTTTCATAAAACAGTTCATGTAGAGGCAAAATTACTACTCGAAAAGGGATGAGAAGAAATAGCAAGACAGACAACAGCAGGGTTTTTAAATCAAATTAATTCTAACACTCAACAATTTGGTAAACATAACTGTTTCATAACCTCCATTCATTCATAAATATGATCACATGAACAGCCAGATAAATGAAGAGAATTACAGTTTCTGAATTGAATAAAAACAAGCATTCCCCAAATGTATTCTACTCTTAATTTCATCATGGACCTCATTTAAATTTGTTATTGTTGTTCCCAGATACTTAAGTTTTGAAAATCTTTTAAATAATGTTACTTATAATTATGTTCTGCCATTGTTGCTATGTTCATCTTGTATTACACCCATGTATTTAGTTGTCTACATTTATTTCTAAGGCTAGTTTTTGCTAGCCTGCAGTAGAGTTTCTGCATTCTTTGTTATGGTACCCATACCAGCCCCAGCAAATAACATCAGCGTAAGCAAGGTTCTGGTGCAGACCATTCAATTCAAGCCTCTTCTGATTCTCTCTGACCTTGCTGACATTTTAAAACAAAATTAAAAAGCATTGGGGATAAAGCATCCCTCTTTTAAGCCATTGTGCACTGGGAATGGATCCGACAGAAGATTACCTATATGATCTAGTAGATACCCCATTCATATACATCTTAATTAACCTAACAAGTTTCTTTGGTACTCCAAACTCAAAATACCATATAGTACCTCTCTTCTGAGTTGCATGCCTTCCTGAAGTCCACAAATAGTTGGTGCACTGATCCATTACAAGAACACTTATTCTTTTATATTTGTCAAATATAAAATACCTGATCAATAGTTGACCTTACAACAGCATATCTTATCTTAATAATAATAATACTAAAATACGTGATTCCCCGTCGCCGTCAAGAAATGACGTCATCAAAACAGCGTTAGCCATAGCCGAGTCACCTTTAAGGCAATGTCCTACATAAGCGATAACAAGCGAGCTGCATAAGCAGCATGGGGTGTCAATGACATAAGGGAATCGCTTGTTGTGTCCTACGTAAGAGACTTCAATAGAAGCACACGGCCGTCCTGCGCATGCACCTTCGTGTATTGCACGGTCAGAGCTTTCTTGCGCATGCGCCTTACGGGCCAGCACAGCGACTCACGCGAAAATATCAAAACATTTGATCTCGGACTTTGGCCACTGACCGCTTCACTGTAAACTAGGACAGCGCCACACAAAGAGCCAGTTTGATATTTCCGCTTCACCCACACAACTCGCACCGCTCGCATTTAATCGCTCACGTAGGACACGGGTAAATTTCATTCCTCAGGAATGGTAAGAGTAAGGGTAATGTAACCTATATGTAAAATGATCAGTAAATAAAGACCTTTAAGAATCTGTAATGTATTTTGTTGTAATTATAATTGTTTATACATTTATTGTAATTTTAATGAACCAATGTGTACAATTTTCAATGCATCTGGCGCGTTAAGCGCCCGCCTCTCGGAGATGGATCTGGACATATTGTGTATGAAATACATATTACCTCTTGAGCTTTCCATATCTGTTTTCAGATTTTACATATCACAAATGGTTTAGGTTCTACAAACATTTATTTATACAAACAAAGGCGCAATCCACTTGCGTCATTTCTTTACTCGGCAACTTGAGTTCATTTTCTTCCCTACAGGAGGCTGAACAGTCACGACTTTAACGCCTCTCTCACTGTTATACCTCTTTTAATACACATCGAATCTTTTAATTAAGTGTGGCTCTATAGAAGTGTAGCTCTGTAGATTTGTCCTGGCGTTCATCACGACTTTTTTATAATCAACAGTGATTTGTTTTAATGTCACGTTATCGGAGGATAAACTACTGTCAATTAAAACGTATCCTAGAGCGAGATTTGAACTAAATCCGTCAACAAACACAAAAAATATCCACGCGGATTTATGTTTAGAGGTTATCAACTATTTGAAGTACAAAAAGGTAAACTCATAGTACTAATACTACTCATTTAACTCATACTACTCATTCCATACACACTGCCTGATCAAACGTATCCGGACACCTACGCGAAACTGTCCTCTAAGTGTCCCTCGGACATTAATATGGGGTGGGCCCACCCTTGGCATTTATTACAGCTCTAACTCTGCGGGGGAGACTGTCTACCAGGTGTTGGAACGTCGCAGGGGGAATGGCCGACCATTCTTCCTGCAACGCTGTAGCAAGCGTAGTTAGTGATGTGGGTCGTTGGGGTCTGGCGCGCAGTCACCTTTCTAGATCATCCCAGATGTGTTCAATAGGATTGAGATCGGGGCTCTGGGCTGGCCAGTCCATTTCCGGAACCTTATGTCCACAAACCACTCATGAACAGACCCCGCTTTATGGCAGGGAGCATTGTCATGCTGAAACACACAGTTATCATCTCTGAACTGGTCTTCTATCGTAGACAACACGCAGCTGGTCAAAATGTCCTTATATCCTTCCGCCTTTAACGTGCTCCGTAGTATTACGAGAGGACCAAGTCCCTTCCATGAAAAACACCCCCACACTGTCACCCCACCTCCGCCGAATTTCGCTGTGGGCACTTTACAGGCCGGCATGTAGCATTCACCTGGCATTTGCCACACCCAAACCCTCCCATCGGACTGCCACATGGTATAGCGTGATTCTTCACTCCAATCGTCCACAGCCCAGTGGCGGCGCTCTTTACACCACTGAAAGCGGCGCTTAGCGTTCACAGGCGAAATGTGCGGTTTATGGGCAGGTGCCTGGGCTTTGAACCCCAGTCCTCGTAACTCCCAGTGCACAGTCATGGTGCTAGGTGCACAATTAGTGGCACTGTGGAATTCACGGGTGATGGTATCACACGATGACATGCGATTTTCCCGTACCACTTTCTTCAATGCTCGACGGTCCCTGTCAGTCAACACACATGGTCTACCCGGCCGTGGTTTTGTTGTGGTTGTGTCTTCCCATTTCCACTTCACAATCACGTCCCCGACGGTCGACTTGGGCAACTTGAGAAGGGCGGAAATGGTCCTGATGGATTGCTTACTGGTGTGGCAACCAATAACCATACCACGTTCGAAGTCACTGAGCTCCCTTGCTCCACCCATTCTGTCGGTATCGCGCAACACTGAACAACATCGAGCCCTCTGCCTCCTTTTATAGCAGCAGCGGCGGTCATAGTGATATCTAGGCTCGAGTTTACGTTTAATACTTTTCAGGCAGTGTATTACGATTACGAAAACTATTACGAAAACAGACTTTATGATCGATTTTAAGACAAAATTTGCAAGGGTGGAGTTGGACGTAGAACATTGACTGACCAAGAACAGTTGGGCTCTGAACAGCGACGTAAAGAACTACAACATCAGACTTATTTAACAAATAAGGATAAGCGAAAGAAGACTTACATTGATAAACGAGACCATATTAACAACACACGTAAAAAAACACGCTGAAAAACGAAGTATTAAATATCAACAGAAATCGACAGACGAAAAATGTGAGGTTATCAAGAAAGAACGACAAGGACTCTAGAGCAACCGCTCCGAAGGAGCGCGTTGCTCTAGTATCATGCTAAAAATCAGTAATTTTTAAAACGGACACCTGCTACATAACATTTAGATAAACACTTCTCACATTTCACTTTAGTTAAAAGATTTCTAAGGCCAGGTAATGGGACATACCAAATTTAGAGGAACACATTTTCACACTTCACATTGTTAAAAAATTAGCTTACTTGCAGTTTATCCCTTAGGCCTGGTAATGTGTCTCGGATATGATTGGTAAGCTGCTGATTCAATACTCGCTGCAAGTATGGAGTACCCAAACGATCTGCTATGTGCCGATATGATGGATGACTGAAAAGAATGTATGGTATGAAATATGATGTATCTATATAAAATTTCATTTAATTTCCTGCAAATAAACATAAATGGTGTATGGTAGTGGGGAAACACAGGATTATATGAAAGTGAAGAAAGTAATTTTGAATTTATATCAATGAACAGAAGCTAGTTAATAATACATTCACTTTAACTAAAAAAATTAACAGAAGCAAACTCTCTGAAGTTCACAAATACTTGAATTGTGGATGTAAAATGATGTAGAACAAGTATTAAAAGCACTCAGTTAATATGTTGATTTTAGGACTTCAAAACATCAGAAACTGTAGGTTAAAGAAATGTAACTTCTCTGTAACTACTTAAAATTAAAATTTCTAATCCTAAACCTTCTCTTTCATGATAATGCATTCAGGATATTAAAATATACAGCGCAGATAATACAGTGACATCCATCTTAATCCAACATTTTGGTAACAAATAGATTATAACAATGAAAGTAGTGAAGTATATAAAAAACGAGTAAAAGTGAAGTGGAAAGACATTCCAATAATGAGAATATGAGGTACCACTGTACTTTCCAGTTCTCTTCTCAGAGGAAGAGATCAAGTTCTGCATGTCTGAACTATTCAACTACTTGGTGAGATGCAAAACCTGATCAGTTCCATTGAAAGAATAACTGGAAAGTATACTGATACCCTACACTATCCTGTTAAAAGCATCAAACAACATTAGATGAGCTTACCACCACATATCACATTATGACCTGCTGCCTCCTATTTTAGGACAGAAGAGAAATGAGCCTGGGGAAGAGGTGTGTTCACATAGGAAACAAGTACGAAGTCAGAGTAGTGTTATCCAATTTCCTTCACCTATCAGGCCAACACATCTCATACCTCTGTGATTATTCCTTATACAAATGCTGAGCACTGCAGCCAAGTGGTTAGCATTCCTGTTTTATATTCAGGTGGTCCTGAGTTCAAATTTCAGGCTGGAGACTGGCTATCTCCAGAAAAATATCTGAACTGAACCTTACATTAGGCCACAAACACTTCCCACACCCTTTCCAATTCATTATTCATTAAACATGCTCTCATCTCTTGTATAGTCTGAGACACTGACAGCATCATTAATTAAACTGAAAATAGCTTCCTATACAAACCCACATCTACTCCATCTGATTATTACTTCTCCCATGATGGTGGAGGCAATCACATTTCAATACTACAGTGTAATAACCCAGAAGATTACATATTGGTTGTTTTGTTTTTTTGTTAATTAAGATTACTTTTAAATGATCAACTGTGACCTCGACCAGTTAACCATCTATGCTTGTCACTGATCCATAAAGCTCATATCAGAGTATTAAAACTCCTCAAACCATAAAACGTATTAAAATTTATATCATGAATTGAAATACAAAACTATAGTTACCTTAAAAAAAATTTTCTCTCTGCAGCAAGAGCAGCTTTTATGTCTTTACGACCCTCAATATCCTTCTGACTGCGGTTCACAACACCAATGTAACCCCTTCTTAAAGGTAATAATTTATTTTCAAGAATGTCACGTGCATCTGTGCCTTCATCCATCAGGTCCAATTTTGTAATGACACCAATAGTGCGTATACCTGCCGACACAATAACAACAACAAATAACTAACTCATTCAAGCACAAAGTACATAATTATACACGAATGACTTATCCTTTGCTTAATAGTCATATAACCATGCTATAATTATATAATTCAGTTTCAGGTAGGGAATCTTAATTTCTTTTGCTCAACATATTTACTTGCTTGCATATGTAGTACAATAGAAAAAATTAATTACAATCACATTTTCAAAAATTACAATTCTGAAAATTATAGATTTGAACTCAAAAGAAATGTTTTCACTATGTCAAATGTACATACAGCACCAACTAATCAGATTATTTAAACACAGTGATTAAAATATAATACTTAATGGTACCAAAATAAACATACTGAATTATGCAACCCATTTGCATTTATAATGGCTAAATCAAAAGTCTTGAAACATTACATTTCTTTTATACAGAGCACATCTTATAACATTACTTGCAATAAGATGTCTTTTAGGAAATATTTCCTATTCTTCCTATCTCTGGACTTCTGACTCACTCTCTGATGGCGCTTCAATAGAAGTCCTGCTTTGAAAACAACAAAAGTTACTCCTGTACATCAGCTTTTGAGTTAGATGAAAACTTCACAAAAGAAGAGTCTATATATCACAAGAAATCCTGTAATCATATTCTGGACAACACTAAACCATTCTTTACTAAGGTTATTATGCACTGAGATAACTAAAATAGTGATTATAAAATGTTATTTTATTACTATTTTCTCTTCCTTTTATTTATTTGAAAGTTGTTGATAATTCATTACACATAACTAAGGTAAAACACCTTGGTAACAGAGATGTGAGGACTGTGTTCTAATAAATACTTATGGTACGTATGATGATTTATTCCTACAGTATTATGGTATACACAACACAAACAGCAAACTCATTTTATCCAATTTTTCACCAGAAACCATTTCATTGGAGGGAGAGGGAAGAGGGAGAAGGGACAGAGAAACTCAGTCTGTCAAAACCCTTATATTTCCTTCACCCTATGTACAAATTAATGGCTTTATTACGTGTGTTCAGTAAAGACCTTCCGTGTCTTTCAAAATTTCACCTTTTGAGGTGCTTTGGCATGATATAAACACAAACAGGACATGCCTACAGTATGGTCCTCAGAACTCAATAAATTATAATCAAGCAGCAAATCATGCACTGCTACAAATACACAAATCCATTCAACTACTGTGCACAATAATCAAAACATATTTTAAGTCAAAATACTGGAGTTTGAATTGGAAATTAATCAATTCAAATTAGAGTTAATATTTTTTAAGTTATCCTTCATAAATGTCCATCCTTGCTACAGATTTAGAAATTATAACACTTGCAACAGCAGCTCATGGAACTTATCAATAAGTCTTAAATAATAAATCTGTGTACACAAAAAGTGAAATTACCAAAAAAATTAATTCAGTGATGAAGCAACAAGAGCTAAAAATGTCCTCTGTATAGTACAATTTTCTGAAATACTGTTAATGCAAAAATGGTATCTGGATTACATAAATATACACTTAGATGAAACTATAAATTAAGTACACTACATTCAAATAGCATTAATTATTACAGAAATTATCTTTCAAAATTAGCTTGGTATTCACAACTATTACAATCAGACTTTCGCTCATTTCACAGCAAAAATATCTGTACAAATGAACTTGTGCCCAACAGCTTCCTGCTTTTATACAGAAGAGAAATATGCGGAGATTAAATGTGGCTAAACAATGGATTTCAGATTCTTTTTACTTCAACCCACTCATGTCTTGAAGATTTCAAGTGTGTGTGCACATGGTCCCCTCAGGTTTTTTAAATGTATATGGTAGATATTGTTCCAAAGCCAAAAAATGTTATTTTATAGCTTGAAATACTTCTCATTTTTAATTTCTTTTCAGAGACTAAATTACAAACATGGAGAATCACAATTTTTTCCATCTAACTTTTACAGCTTTTAACAAAAAGACTGAGTATTAATTTATGTAATACCTTATCAACTGTATTTATGTACCACTGATGTTATGGAGATTTGTGAATGGCACATTGGAAGGGATGTGGAAGGAAATAGTTGTGGCCTATTCCAAGCTACTGTCCCAGGATTTACTTGGAAAGACAAAGGAACACTCCCCACCCACAAAAAACCTGACATAATAGCCAATCTACAAGCCAAGTTCTGAATCCAAGACCTCCACAATAAAAAGTGCTAATGACTCAACTATAATTTTCAGTATTCTAACAATCTGATGATCCACACAGAGATGGTCACTGCACCCCTCAGCAATGGGGGATATTAACCCTTCAGCGTGGGAGCATTTAAATCTGAAGTCTATACTGTGCTATGGGAGGATTTTCTGCTTGGGGATTTAATTTTGAGCTTGAAAGTGCATCATTTTACTTATATGGGCACAACTTCCCTAATAATTGATGAATTTAAGTGAAACTTTGAACAAAATGTTCACAACATACTATGCTTCGGTCGTGTACAGTTCTATCAATGTCTTGAGGAGACAAAAAACGTCTGCTACTCGAAGCCATAATCGTGGCTGACTGACAGCAGATATGTGCTACAGAAGTCTGTTCATACCAAGGGGGAAAACAAAGAATGCATTGACTCAGCTTTCTGACATCATATACCGTTGCAAAGCTTGCAATGTGTCCTATACAGCTGTAGTAGCCGTAACTATATTACTCCATTCGTCTTCGATAGAGGGAGCCACAGAGCAGAGACTGAATGCAGTTGACTTCAATAATCGATCTATATTTCAAAGTCGAAAAACACTGGTAAAATTGATCTGTCAGAGTCATGTTATACATCAATCGATAACCAGCTTTTTTCTCTACACGGCTACTGGAACCAGAATACATAAACTACAAGGCCAGTCGCTACGTAGAAGGAGAAATCTTAGCGCGCATTGTGCAAGCAGTGCTCGGCACTCCACGCTATGGGATGATTACGTCATGACGAGCGATGTTCGGCACTCCACGCTGAAGGGTTAAGTCATGTTACAATCCCCAAATCCTCAGAAAACAGATACACATGACCTCTTATTTTACATACCATCATACAAAATTTTTAAGGGTGAATGTTCAATACAAAAACTGAAGATGCTTGATTTTCAATGTCACACAAAAATGTTAATTTTATATTGTAATTATCTTCAGAATTCACTAGTAATTATTACGGTTGTCGATTAACAGTGGTACTGTGAAATGTGACTGGTAACTAATAGGGTCATGGTCTCAAACCCCACTTGTTTTATTAGTTCCAGAATCAGAAGCAGGGTACCACTGGTGTGAAATATGTATAACACAAACTTTGAGATCCTTAGAACACTCTATGTGAACAATACAAATATTTATTAAATACCTGTTTTATTTAGGTGGTCTACCTACCACACCAAGTTTTACAATTCTGTAATGTTAATTACAGAAATGGGGCTAACTTGACATAAAAAGGGATTTTGGTTAGTACAGTACTTAATAACCACCATCAAATTTACACTTGTTATTCCTACCTGCAGGATCAACTTCTTTGGCCAGTTTGAGCGCATCACTGTTTGCGAGATCTGTATTGGCTGGTGTAACAGCCAAAATTAAAGAATTATCTCTTGTGATAAACTGCATGATCATAGCTCGGATTTGTTGCTCGATATCAGCAGGCTGGTCTCCAATAGGGACCTTTGTTAGACCAGGAAGGTCAATAAGAGTCAGATTCAGAACTGAAACATAATGAAAACAAAAATCTACTGTATATAACACAAAACTACAGTGCAATGCAAATTGCATGCAAAGTTCAAGTGCTGAGACAAAAAAAAACAGCTGTGGAAATCTTGTCCAGAATATGTGAATACATAAAATGCACCAGCTACCTAACACAAACCTAAAACTAATGTACAAGAATAACGATATTAAATTTTTAATATGTACAAGCCTGTGACCAATATGTTTTTCATTGCTTTAAGCCAACACTTCACATTTTGGTGTATGACTTGCAAAAATTAAACTGATAGTAGCAAAAATTATAAATTATCAAGAATAGGAACAATCCAATAGCACCCATACTACACCTAGACCATAAAATTATTCATTACAAAGTCCATGCTACTGCACACAAAATATTCAACCAATATACACAATTCAGATATTCTGGATTAAAACAATCCACAACATATTAGTCTCACTGCTAAGCAAGCTCATGAGAACATCAATACATGTGAATCCACAAATATAACACCCAATATTACTGCTGATCGTCATTCTGCTATATCAGAATGGTGTGACAGCCCCATTACCATCAGGATCAACAGTCTTGGCAATCTGCAGAGCATCGGATGTAGCAAGATAAGTATTAGCTGGGGTAACAGCCAGGATGAGACAAGTTTCTTTTGTGATTAAAAACAAACATGTCCTTAATCTGTTGCTCAATATCAGCAGGCTGGTCACCCACAGGCACCTTGGTCAGGCCCGGCAAATCAATTAGAGTGATGATCAATACTGTTGGCATGTTAAAACAAACCCTAACACATCTATATTTGTCATTAATGTGTTCATATGTCTTGAAGAAATTACAATACTACAGAAAACAATACATATTAACAAAATAACACGCAAGTTTATTTTTAAAAATTGTTATCACAGATTTCTAAACAAAACATCTTCTAGCATTCTGCCTTAGAAAGGATCACAAGCTTTGTCCACAAGTTCCAAAGTAGATGTGAACATACCACCGACAGGGTAAAAGCCTACAATTCTTGATCAAACTGAAGAACATTCAGATCTGTCCAGAAACACACACCAATTTCCTGATATTTATCAAGGAATGAGGAAGTACAAAGTTCTTCACCAAGTTAAATAAAATACGACTGCAAACACAGATTTCTTTGCACAGCAATATACAATACCTTCTGTCATTTTTCTATTCCCCTATGACAAATATGCCATAAATATATATGAATAACAAACAAAATGGGCATTCTGAATATTCAAAGAGCTATGACATAACTACTGTACAATATGTCAGAAAATTACTATCTGGTCTATTACCATAGCCTTTAGATATTTAGGGAACACTGAACAAAAGTAGAACATTATTTTGAATAGGAAAAATAACAATAAATACATATATACCTTTACTTTCTTACACAGTATTGTCATACACAAATATCACATAACACTACTTACTGTTTGGTCTATAAAATTTTCTTTCATGATCTCATAAATTTAAGGCAAAAGAATGTGACAAAAACACAATGAGTTCTCTGAAAACATATAATTTAAAAAATCCATTCAAGTACTCCTGTAAGAAAACAGTAGAATATCATCTTCAGCATCACAGACTAAGTTTTGGTGTAAAAATACAGAAAAAGATAATTAGCAAAATCTTATGAACATGTTCCCTTGTTTCCTTACTTTTCTTCGCCTGTATCTTTAGAAGACATCACACAGATGTGTAGGATTTGATCACCCTGATGATGGAGGCAGCAAGGACCTCTGAAATGTCGGTAAACTTCTACCACACTACATGGTGCCACAACCCAGAAGAGAGTCATCATTACACAGATAGCCAAAGCAAAAGAAGAGTTTATTATTATATTTTTAAGTGCATCAATTACTGCATTAACAATAACAGAACTGAGTTCTATGTAATAAGCAAATTATAATCAGATATACTTCAAAAACACTGACTTACCATTTGGGGAACAAACTCTCAAGTTGATTGGAATGTTCGAAATGCCTTTGTTGGAGCCTGTGACACGATCTGTTTCCGCTTCAATTTCTCGACGGACTTCATCAAAGTCCACAAACTTCTTGCCTTTGCAATGTAGGAACTCAGCATACTCTATGAATCAAAAAACATATTAAAGTTTAATAAAAATACAGAAATGTATTGCACAGCAAGAACAGTATGACACACACTGTGATTATATTGATTACTACTAACTCCATGGGAGAAAAAACCCTTCCTGAGAAGCTAAAAGTTGCTCAGCCAATCAAGGAATTGCCTGCCATCTACAGAACTCAAATGTTCATTGCTTTGTTCACAAGAGAACAGTTGATAAATTTAGTCCACAACCTCATATCTTACTTCTTAAATTTCCATTTTAATATTACCCTCCCAGGTGAATAATAGTGGTCCTCCTGTTTTGGGGGTTGGGCATGGGTCTACCAATACTTGGCATAAAAAGTGCAAAAAAACACAAAGAATTATGTGGTTTATTTTATGAAAGATGGCATTCATTAGCTTTTCACTTTGTCACACTATACACATGTGATAGTTTTTAACAATAAAGAGGTAAATATTTTTAAATATTTGACAATACAACTGTAATACCTGTTAATATTGACCTGGAAGTTTCACTGATAATGGTATGGATGGATGGATGAATGAATGAATAACTCCCCCTTCCCAAGATGATTTTTAGAGAATTCAAAACATGTTGGGCATTGCATATTAATGTTGATGTACTTAATTTTAATAATATATGTTGCATTACACAGTATAAAAGAATATTACTGATATGGAATGCAACCAATTGAATATGAATATCAAAGTTGCAATAATTATTTTATTGCTCGCAACTAGACATGATAAATTATTGTGGTTGTTCTTAGCAGCAGCAGAGGTAACACTAGAAGCAGTAATTATTTTCTTTTTGGAAATACTTTGGAAAGTTCTGATTATGTCTTCATTAAATGTGTCAGATATAAAAACAGGTTCTACAACGTTAATATGTTCCCAACTGTTGAGCTTTAATAATATTTCATACATCGTTTGTGGGAATGTTCATCTTCACACAAATTTCATAATTCTAGCACCAATTGCCCATTTAGTTATCTCTGTTAAAATAAAAGCTTAACAAAAATTTCATTTCGTTGTCATCTAGTTTTATATTCTACAAAAAAGAAAAATCTTACTAAAAGTTTCATTTCTTTAAAGATCCATTATCATAGCTTACAGAATCAGAATATTGTAAGAAATAAAAAAGCATTTTTGGAGTATTCACCAACAGCACAGTGTTCATAGAATATTTTGTGAAAATCATTCAAATTGTTAAAAAGTTGAAAGTGACATACACATAGCATGGTATTCTCATATTACATTTTTCTAAGGAAATAAAATTAATCTAAAAATGTCACCAATATTATGAAAGTGTGTCTGGGAATTTCAAATGATGTTACTGCTTAATACCGCAAGTTGAACCATGCAAAATTTCTAATAAAACTGCAGTGGTTAATTATGACACGATAAAATTGTATATTATCATAAAATTACCATACCTGCAGTACTAGTGATAAGTTGCAAAATCAGAGGTCTTCTGGTAACAATTCCTGAACCCCGAGGAAGAAAGTCTCTGTAATCATAATTACAAAATTACAATCATCCAACCTACCAAAAAAGAGAAGAAAAAGAAGTAAAAAACATTATTTATTACAAATCACAAATAACAGAAGGAACAACTGACAACACTTAATATAATTAAATCTCACAACACACAATCCTCACATAACCATGTGAATATACAGACTAGATTAACTGATAATCATGACCTGCGAACACTACATTTACAAACACTTTCACTTGACACGACATGTACGTAGTTACAGACGTTTTTGAAGAACCTGCTGCATCTATCTTGAGGATAGATTTCTTCAACACAAAGACTGTACAGCCCAGATGATCACAGCCTAAACTGCTACTGACATGAAAAACCTTGCATGTCAACAGTTTGCTACCACCATAACAATAAAGTAATTCTTTTTGACATAAATATATTGTCTGGACATGTTTAGGCTTGAATGAATGTCAAAATATTTTTGCCACAGCTCAAAGTATAAATTATCACATGCACACGCAGTCACAAATCAATTATACACACACACACACACAGACAGACATATATATATAAGTAACTGGATCACAAGTCAAAATAAATGAATGTTCAGTAACATATCCTGCTGTAACATGTGACCGGAAAGTATGTGAATTTCACTGCTTCCTATAGTTTCTTCTGGATTCTCCAAAACTTTAAACTGGTACTGTAGCATGACTTCTAAGGTATTCAATTATTTCACATGAAATTCTTGAGAACATATGCTGTGTGATCACTCGACTGAGAGTCTTTCCCTTACCTTTATAATCACTGGTGCCCTGATGACAGCAACAATAAGCACCTTTGAAACATCAATAACTTCTACCAAACTACATGTTGCAACAACCCATGACTACCACCTTCATATTTGCTGCCATAAGAACCTCAAATTTAACAATACAATGTTTGAAATACTGTTTCTGCCTCCAGCTTCTGCAGTGTGCGGATAAATTGTGAACGTTATGTAAATTTAATACTCAGACCCTTTGACCAAGAAATGACCGATGAGGAAAAGACTTACAGTTTCTTCATGCAAGACAATGCTACAACTCACACAGCTGATCGGTCGATGTTAGCATTAAGAGAAGTGTTTGGTGAACAAGTTATCGATCAGTGGCCTCCGCGTTCCCTAGACTTAAACCCGTGCGATTTTTACCTGTGGGGCATGCTGAAGAACAAAGTTTATGTAAAAAATTCGCACACTGCAGAAGCACTTAAAGAAAATATTCGACAATTGATTTCGGCAATTTCCCAAGAAGAGCTTCGTCGAGTATTTCGAAACATGTTAATGAGATGTGAAGCTTGCCTGCAAGCACAAGGAAGTCACTTTGAACATCTTTTGTGATTGAAGGTAAGAACAATTAATGTAATAACATGTATTAGTAACGAGAAATATTCGTAGTTCGCCGTTACTAGCGGCACTGAAACTGATTCGCCGGTCACCCACCGGAAGAACGCGCACAACTCCTGCCCACATAAACAGGGCGCCAGCCGACCATGCAATCCAAGCACGACTGCAGCCTCATAAATTGTAGACCCTGTATATCATGATGTGGAAAAGTTGTACTTTTCATTACTATATTCTTGGTTGTGGCAATGAGTTCATTAATTTTTTCTTATGATTAGGATTACACAGAAATATAAATACTATTCTGTTACTAACTTCATGTTAACACATGTTCATTATGATTGGTCTGAATATGCCCTACTGCCGAACCTCAGAAGTAAATACTCCTAGCAAAATGTTCATGCAATATGTATAAAACTGGTTAAATACATACTCTAATTTCTCATAAATGCTACCATTTACATACACTTTAAAAAGATGATCTATTCATGGTTACATAAGTCTGAAGAGATCAACAAAATGCATAGGATAAATAACAATGTATCCATTTATTCTCATTCAGCTTTGTCAACAATACATTTTTAAGTACAATAAATAATATAAGATTCTGTATCTACTATAAAAATTTGTGATTTCTCGTTGTCTGCAAGAAATGACGTCATCAACAATGTCAACTATAAACAAACTCGGCATTGTTGTGTTCCACAACAATGCCGAGTTTAGTTTCTTACACAAGATTTTAAAAAGCAACCGAAGGGGTTGGTTGCTTTTTAAAAACTTGACCAACCCCTCCGAGGAGCTCCGAAAGGAGCGTTCTGCCCTAGTAAAGTAAAAAAACAGACAAAATCTGGATTGAATAAAATTGTGTAGAGGCAGTAGGATGGTCACTCACTACTCACAAATGCACACTTAAAAGGCAAAAAACTACGAAAAGAGGCAGCAAAGACCCACACTGGGTTGTAGATCCAAGGAAGAAGTATAAAATAATGAAACATTTCTTCTTTCTTTATTTCCTATCGCTGAGGTTTCCTTGCTCTTTTGATGTGCGCGTTTGTGAGAAGCGTTTCTATGTACCTCCACATCCCTTTCAATGGGGATGCTGTGGAACGACATACTAAATTTACTTCTGAACATATTAAACCTTTTCCTGACAACTGTCACAAACATATATATGCTTATATAAAATACTTTATAAATTCCTGACATACAACTGTCAAATCTGTAATCTCAACGCATTAATTATTAAACAACATACAGTTGGTATTAAATACTAATTGAAACATAAAAATTCCGAACACATGGCAAGAAACTCACCACAGAATGGAATGTTTTAGGAAATATGACAACTAAACCTCTGGTCACAAAACACTTACCTTCCCACAAAATTCTCCAATACCGAACTTTTTCCTGCACTCTGTCCACCCACAACTGCTATTTGTGGAAGATCCAGTTGCATATGAACACCCAACTGTGTAAAGGCATCCTGGAGTTTATTGACGATTGGAATGAGCTGTTCCATCCCAGTATTTCCCGACATTTTGTCGAATGTTCAGTAAACCCAACCCCACACTTAACGAATTCTCTTTCCTACTGCGGGGTGGAAATCCAATATGGCGGATTACCCAAGATACTATGCGGTCTTTGCCTTGTAAAGATTAAAGAAAATCAATATGTTTACATCCAACTATCGAGATTCTAATAGCAACGAAAACAAAGAATAAGAATATAATTGCAAATTTAACGATATTTTTAATAGACCAAAAAAATTGACAGTGGAACCACGGTTTCGGAGAATCTGACGTAAATACGTCTTTGTAATGTAATGTAATAATGTGATATTCTAAAACGTTTTTACCAGCACAAAATTATCTAGTCTACTACGCAAGTGATTCACAGCTCAGCTTTTTCCGCAATAACGAAAGCGGATTGTTGACGGCAGTAATATAACATAACAACGCAAGCAGGCGTTCATATAAAAGCTGACCATTGTTGTCGGTCCATATTTACACATTGTTGATATGGATCTTACACATCTTCGTTACGCTTTTTTGCCGAATGACCCTTCCTCATAGACGTATTTACGTCAAAAACGCACATATATATAAATACAGGTTTGGCTGATTGTCCTTAACAATTTAATCGATACATGAATCCTGTGCGCAAAGCTTTTGTGTTTGACCTAATTTTAATATAGTGTACAATTGTCATTGGCCGTGGCACTTGCTGTGCTGTACAGTAATATGGTGTTTGATATTGAAAGAAATATTCTTTCAGCCAATATTTCCATCCCACCCCCGTCCATTAAAATTCCAACAAGACAATAATACATTTTTTAATATAAATCATCCTATCATCAATAGTGCAGTTTTCATTCGCAAACGACTATTCTAATAGTCTCATCTTTTTTCACTGTCACAGTCAAGTTTGGTGGACCGTTTAATTTTCTACCGAAAACTGTGCACGGCTTATCTACGATGATAAATCTTCACTGATTAATCTCCACGCAGAAGAGATCACAGGTGACAAGTCCACGCCCTCATATCCTCTTTAACATATATTTTAATATTATCCTCCTCTCTGTGTGACTTAAGCCTTCCCCATCCATTAGCATCGTCCAGCATGCAATTCACAGGGAGACAATTCCGCAAGGACCTTGAAATAATCACAGAAAATAGTGTAAGAACATCGGCTGAATTCTATAAAAGGTAATTCCTTTGTTACTAATTACATGATGTTAAGCATTAACGAACACATCACGGTGGTGAAAACGTTGTAATGTGGGTTGCGCCGCCATGTAGTGTAGTGTCACCTACTGGTGACTACATAAACAGAAGTACTATATATCACCGAATTGGGCACTGCGAATCACACCTCAGTTAGTATCAAAAAATGGCGGACATTGACAAGTGGATAGATATAGCTAAAGAGTGTAAATATCTTCCAGAAAATGACTTAAAGGTAATAAGTAGCTCCTATTGAAATAAACTGCGCTTCTAGCCGGATAACTGACGCATGCAAGAATACGTAACGTATATGGTTGTATTAGATTATTTTAACCTTATAAAGTCTATTAAAAACTAACCTAAATTCTTTTTACAATTCCATAGAAACTTTGCGATATAGTTTGTGATCTTCTCTTGGAAGAGTCTAATATTCAACCAGTTTCAACTCCTGTGACAGTATGTGGAGATATTCATGGGCAGGTATGTAGTAGAATGTATGTATAACAAAGAATTGTCAACTTGTTTCATCAAAGCAAATTTTTATCTGAAGTCTTAATTTCTGAGAAATTTAAAATACTGTGACTGTTATAACCTTACTGACCCCCCTTGATTTAGACTTTTACTTTCTGCTAAGTAGTTTTAATGCTTTGCTTTTACAGTTCTACGACTTAGAAGAACTATTCCGTAATGGTGGACCTGTTCCTGATACAAATTACATCTTTATGGGAGATTTTGTAGATCGAGGTTATTACAGCTTGGAGACATTCACAAGGCTGCTTACATTGAAAGCCAAGTGGTCTGACCGTATCACACTCCTTAGGGGAAATCATGAATCTAGACAAATTACACAAGTGTATGGCTTTTATGGTAAGCTGTATATAACAAAAATACTGATTACTAGTTTCCATATAACATGTTAGAGTATTCTTCCCTTATTGTATGAACCTCTCTTTCAGATGAATGCCAGAATAAATATGGAAATGCAAATGCTTGGAGATATTGCTGTCAAGTATTTGATTTGCTGACTGTTGCTGCGGTTAGTATTTCTAGTTTTACCGTCACCATATTTGAACAGCTATATTTTCATTGGAGTTCATTTATAGTTTATGTGCATAACATTGTAGTACTGTAGCGCTATGAAATATGAGGAGCTGGGGTAGATCAGTCAGTGTGACTGACTACAGCCTGGATGACCAGGGCCCTATCCCTGGCAGGGGCAGAGGATTCCTCCTCTAGGCTCTGAGGCCCACCTAGCCTCCTAACCAGTCAGGGTGTGATGTTAACCATTCACCCCTATCTAATGCCAAGGTTAAGAATGAGTAGGAGCTAACCCCTTGCATACTAATCCCACAGAATCCTAAAACAAACCACTTGTCAACATCTGGTTTAGTACAATCAATTTATGAGTCCAAAATCATCACTTAATCTCTGCAATAAAACTATATATATTTTGATAAAGAAACTTTCTTCTTTCAGCTAATTGATGAGCAAGTTCTTTGTGTTCATGGAGGTCTCTCACCAGAAATTCGAACTCTTGATCAAATTCGTAGCATTGAAAGGAACCAGGAAATTCCACATAAAGGTACTAAGAATAATTTAACCAGGTGCCCTACTGAAATGCACTGTAGTTCTGTTTCTCAGTATATGTATAATTATTTTCCAGGAGCATTTTGTGACCTTGTGTGGTCAGATCCAGATGATGTTGAGACCTGGAGTGTAAGCCCTAGGGGGGCTGGTTGGTTATTTGGTGCTAAAGTCACAAATGAGTTCATGTTGCTCAATAGTCTGAAACTCATTTGTAGGGCACATCAGTTGGTGCATGAAGGTATGTCCAAACTTATACACATTTAAAAATAATTATAAGTTGATCATGTTTACTCATACTTTTTAATATAGTTTTTTTGTCCGCATGTATCATAGAAGTATACATATGCAGCATTCCTAGATATCAAATAAGCTTTCATATCCCTCATTCATGATAATACAGTAAATTCATGTTGTGTTATATATTGTTCAGTGAAAAACTTGCATCCAAGAACAGTTGGGGATGATGGAAGGGATTTAGAAGTGTCACTTCCTTTTCCCTGAAATTGTCTATTTAATGCCTAATTCTATATGCTGGGATATGCCTTTTCACATTCCCACTATATACATGTTGAGGGCAACATGCCAGAAACCCATATTGACATATTTGCATAATTGGAGACGTTCTGTCTAACAACGTAGTAGATGTCATGCCATAAGGGTCTAGTGCTAATGCATAAGAACTAATAATGCATATTTGTCAAACCAAATTGCCATAAGAACTGTCTACTGTAAATCAGACATTTTGTTGATGTGCGTATTTGGTACAATGCCCTTGATGTTTTTACTTGCCTCTTATTTCTATGTTCAATTTTTTTTCAGGTTTCAAATACATGTTTGATGACAAGCTGGTCACTGTCTGGTCAGCCCCTAATTATTGCTACAGGTGTGGCAATATAGCATCAATTCTTGAATTCACAAACATTGACACTAAGGAACCAAAACTCTTCCAGGCTGTGCCTGATTCTGAGCGTGTCATACCTCCTCGTACTACCACTCCCTATTTCTTGTGATAACTTTGGCCTATCAGTGGATGAAACCTATGGACATTCATATCGATACATTTGTCAATAGGAAAACGTTGTGATATTAAAATTATCTTACATTCTGAGGTCAGTATTCTTAATGCCCCTCTAAATTTTGAGATTTTTCTCAAATGTGTATTGAGTGACATGACTCTGAAATCGCTGCTTCATCACTCTAATGATCACAGTTACACATAGTTTGTTTTAAGGTTGATGTTGGTATGGATACAAATGAGCAGTTACCAATTCCTTTAATAAATAACCCATAATAAAAGAGTGAATTGTTTGTACAGCTTTGAGATAGCATTGTATTAAAGGAGTACCTTGCTTTCCAGTATGGAAACATCTGACCTTTGCTTCTTCATATAAGTTTTGATTAAACTGCTCTTTTTTACTGGTAATTGCATGTTAATTTGAGGATACAATGATCTGTATTTACTTAATAGGAAAAGAGGGTTCTTGTCCTTTGGATCTGGCATGTTGACTTTGAATTTATTAGCTTCCATTACTGGTTTACCTGAGGATTTGGAATTTGTATTAATTCAAGTATAAAGTGTATGAAGCTGGATGTAGTATTTGCTGTAAAAGGATCCATATATAAAATGCTGTATGCATGTCCACACTGTGAACTTAGCCCATGATGATCTTCTGAGTTGTAATTCCATGTGGTCTTGGAGGTGGGTATCCACAACTCGGAAGACCACCACGGACATCCCACTACTTTGGAAAAGGCAGCAGATGGAAAAAGGGAAATATACAACTATATCACATCGAGATTCTGGATCACATAGATTTGCAGAAAGTGAAAGATGAGAAATTTGTTAATTAAATGGAGTGTGCACATAATTTTACATAAATGTCATGCTGTATATACTAATTTTAAGTGTTAATGATCCATCCAATCTTTGTTTAGGCTTAGAAACAGCTGGCAAATGATATGAATCTGCCTGAATACAGGATGGGATAATGACAGATTTGGAGAGCATGTGCTAATTTTGCAAGGTATTTTGTGGAACTGGTTAAATTATGTGCAGACAGTTTAGACATCAAGGCCATTTGGATTCCTTTTGTACATCCTATAATTTTGTGTCAAAATTATGGAGTTTATTGGGGGGAGACAAGAATTCTGACTGTGCTTCCAGACAGTGTATTTGCCAATGGCCTGATTGCAAAAGCATGTGGTGTATCATTAGATTATATTCATTATTAAAATAATCACACAGATTTCTGGTATATTCTGAACCTTCAATTTAAAGATTTGGAACAGCATGTTTGCCTTTTGGCCAGAGAAAATGGGAAACATATCATTGGACATACCTTTTTCTTATATTCACCATTTGCACTAATTTTTTTAATAGTAGATAATTACACCTACTTCAGATAATAGTGGCACCTATTAAAATCTATCTACTATCCAACAAGCATACAAAGGGAGTATTTCATGAATTACCTACCTGTGTTTCCAAAGTGACAAAACTGCTAGTTCACAGCTTAATTTATGCAGGACCACAAATTAACATTGTGTATATTTACAGCTAAAAGAATTACTGTAGCATCAGAAGCAAAGGTAAAGATGCAAAAAGAAAAGTGAACAGAACTACTGTCTAGGTAAGAGCAGGTTTGTGTTGAAAATACCATGTCTTACATTGTTTATAGTTTTATTGAAATTCATGTGTATTTCTTTTTTAAACAAAAAGTGTGCTGGTTAAAAGATCCTTTCAATTTTAATACTACAAGAAGGTGTTTTTTGTAAATAAAGATTTTAGACTTGCCGCTAATAATTATATGTGTAGACATTTTGTAATGCACAGTGTGAGATGGAAGGGAATCACAACTAGATAACTATTCTACTACAAATTAAATTTAAACTAAAGTTAACAAGACTTACGAACAACCACTTCTAGATTTCAACAGTCAAGTACATCTTATGAATAAAATTCATCACTTATGTAGGTACAGGAGGTGATTTAAGTGGTGAGAACAGAGATCTTACCTGGATCAGTTCTGAATTAAATAGTAAAAGAATAAAGGCCAAAATCAGGCATGACAACTTTAGAGATAATTGGACTGTGTAATTTCTGAACATGAAACATGTTCAAGACTATTATAAGAGGTTCTTACTGGTGGTCAAGATATCAAAATTGTGGTCTTCTGATAAACTATGACACCACTAGACTAGAAGGTATTATAACTCAGAAGACCAAAACTGACATCATTGTAAGTTTGCTCTGTGAATTTTCAAGCATGAACTGTCTGGAGTATAAATTTTACCTCTTTGGAACCTAAATATATAATTATATTGAAATACATATGGGAAGCTCAAGATTTCTTCCACACTATACAGATTAAGAAATTAAGATTTGTTGCAAATGTCTAGATTAAAAATTATAAAATAAAAAATATTACTTGTATATAACTACTGCCAAAATATGATTAAATTAAGTATAAATCTATAATATTTTTGTGCAGGAAAGTCCTGAGCATCAATACATTTGAATAAATTCTAATAAAATAATTTGAGATCAGGATTGAAATTCAGAATCCATTTGCTGTGTTTATTGGTATTACTTTAACTGCATCTCTGTATTTCATGCTTTGTACAAATTCATATCAATGTTATTCTGATAAATATTAACTTAAGAAATTTGGTAAATGTTTGTATGTACCATTACCATCAGAAATTCATCACAGTAAACTTTTTCTTTGTTTATTTGATATGTAACTAACCATTTCAGAGGTGCTTGCTGACTCCATCATCAAGGCACTGATGATAGAGGCAGCAAGCATCTCTGAAATGTTGGTAAATTTCTACCATGCTAGATACGTGGTGCTACAACCCAGAAGACTGCCATCTTCGTAAGTGTGGCAAATCAAGTAGTTTCATAGATACAAATACTCATAAATATATTACTGGGAATTAAGAAAACTGTGTTCAGGATATTTTGAGGTGCGTACTATTAATGGGATAAACCTTGATAACTCAGTCAGTATAATAACAAGCTATATGCAGGCTTACCAGAGAGCAAGATTCTTGGCAGGGGGCAGAAATGTTGCTATTTGCTGCATTGTCCATATCCATTCTACAACATATCAAGCCATGTATCCAATAAATATTCAGGAACTCTTTCCAGGATGTTAAAGTGGCCGGCACATGACACTGGTCACTCACCTACTTATAGTACCATAGTTAAGAGTGTATGGAGATTAAATCTATACATCTACATGGCATGGTGCTGAAGCACAGGGATGCCTTTTATTTTATACCAGTAATGGAAAATGGTATTATTTATTCTAGACAAAGTCCAGAAATGCTTCTCACAGACATTAGTCACACAGCAGCATGTGTTCTCCACAGGGTCATGTAATGGACAGGCAGCTTGCCATTATCCATCACATCCAACATAAACTGGTCAAGTGTGGCCTGTGGTAGAACCACATAGATTTCTGGCCCATATTAAAATACCAAATAACATGTTGAGAACAACAGACAGATGGATGAAAATTCAAGATTAAATATGTTGATTAGGTGCATACTACAATAATCTGCTGAAGTATGGATCAGTATCTGTAACAGTCCTCTATTGTTACTAATCTCTGCTGCCACCTATCTATGTATTAAAGCTTGGACTTCTTGCAGTTTTACTGCTGTAAGGAAACATTTCTGAGCCAAAGTCCATTAACTCAAGTGTCACTCTGTGTTTAATAGTAGATATACAAAACTGTATATTGTATGCATAAATGAACTCAGTGTTTGAATTCAGGTATATGATATTTCCATGTTTTTACATCATTTACTTAGAATCCCTTTGTCTGTAAATTATGTTTGATATATTTACTGTTATAGTTTTAAAATTACATGCTTTTGTTTATTTAATTACTATATAGTTTAGTCAATAGGAAAGATGAAAAAGAAACAGCCATTATTTATATAAATGTTAAGATTGACTGTTAGAGAACCTGTAATTTCTACCTGATAAGATTACTATGACAGCCTACAGTTGTATAAGGAGCATAAAGGAAAATAGATGCAAAATATAAAAGTAAAAAGTAAAGTTTGTCCCACTATACGCCATGTAGGCGTTTGGGGTGAGAGGAGGTATAGCTCCTCTCTTCCTTGACCTCGGCACTAGATGGGGGTGAGTGGTCAGCATCACGCCCCGGCCGGCTTTACCCCCGGTACCCATTGTAGAGGAGGCTGGGTGGGCCCCAGAGCCGGTCTGGACGCAGAGGCTAGAGGAAAAATCCTCTGCCCCCGTCGGGGATCGAACCCAAAAATATAGTGACTTTAAATTACAGAAGTAGACTATGTCACAAGACATTAAACAAATTAATTCAACCCTTTAACATTTTCACTGGGATGCATTTCAGTTGCTGAACATTAACTTTGTTAATTTTGTGTGTGTGTGTGTGGGGGGGCATGCAGTTCTAATTGTAAAACCTTGCATACTGTGCAGTGTTGAATATGTATCTAAAATATATAAAACATACACTTTGACAGAACACTTAGTGCTAAGTGTTTTTTCAAAGTGTAAACAAGTTTTGTTTGTATGCATGATTTTATATATTTTAGAATAGGTTGTACATAGGATAAAAATAAAAATTCTTGTTCATGTCTGTATGATTGAACCTTTTAAGTATGGGCTTCTGGCTGGAATAAATCCCAGTTACATAGCACTGAATGCAGCAGATTAAAGGATCAATTGTACTTTACCACATTTTTAAGCAGCAAATTTCAAATAAAGACTACAATATTAAGAATGAATCCAGTTAACAATTTACAAAGTTTTCAAACAGCCAGCCTTTATACAAGCAGCTTGGATAGTTTATATTTATTTATCAGTATAGTTCATTCTCTTTTCTTGAAAATGTTCTAGCCTGTATCAGTGAAGTGTGGTACAGACATTTCAGGTGTCTATACAACAGCAAGGTATTGGTAGTCATAATCAGAGTTGGTTATTACATAACAGCTGTGTTCTGTTTTGTGGTGTTAATGTCTCAGTAATGTGAAATCTTAACACCATCTGATGATGCAACCTTTGCAAAGCACTTCCAAAAGCAGGAACTTGATATACACTGTTTTATTAAGCTCAGTTTCAAGCATCAGTTCTTGAAATGTATGGCACACAAAGGGACTATTTTCAAATTCATGACTTTGAAGCCTCCAACAAAGAATATAGTCCTATGACCCTTGGTGCCTCTCACAGAACTGAAATATATACTTAGGTGACATTCACAGGAACCAGAGTGTTAATAGTGAAGATAATGACTGCCAAGCTACCATAATGGAAGTGAATCCATCTCCCAAATATATTGCATGTCAAACCTCATACACTGGCCAAAACACATATTCTATCAATGGCCTTCTGAGGTGCCTTCACCTCATCCAGTGAATAAATAGGAAGGTGTAGTTGACTATATGATATATACCTGCAGCATAAGGACTCCTCATAGTTGGTAAGGTATGCAGGGGAATTAAGGCAGTTCTTCCTGTGTGCTTCATCATCAATCTTGGGTAAAGAGTAGAGTTCCCAAATACTCCTTGCTGAATTCAAAATCGTCCACCACTTGGAAGAGCTATTTCTTCGCCAACATCTTTCTAGGGCTGTCAACTAAAGGCAACAACATGTATACACAATAAATTCTGAGTTGTGTCTGCAGTTTGCAACAGTATTCCATACAAAGCAGCTCCTTAAAACATACACTGCCCTTTAAGTGTATTTCTAACAATTTTACACATTCATGACATCTGATTATGCATTTTTAATAGCACATCTAATACTGAGCATAAAGCACACACCTTCCTTACTAGGACCTGCCTCCCTACAGTCTGACATTGATAGGCTTCTTATAGTTAATGTGCACTAGATCTTTGTGGATGTTGCATGAACCCAAGACAGCCTTAGTTATACAGCCTTACACAATTAAAAGTTGTATCCATCATTTCAAGTTGGATATAATTTTTGCTATTCACCAGGCAACTCACTTGAAATATTCATGGAATTTCGTTATAACATCACCATACAAATTTAATGTTTATTTTTTTCAGATTTTAAATTTTGTATCAAAGTAACATAAAATTAACTTCTGAAATAATAAACACAAAACAAGGATTCAACAGTTATCATACTAGGGGAAAATCATTCACATTAGCATTAAACTGGTTGCACTTGCAATTTCCTACATCTGCAAGGAAAGGAGTGTCTTCCTTGATGGAACTGTGCCCCTGCCAACAGAAAGAGCCATAGTGTGTCAATCAGCAACCCAGCCCATCTGAATTTTTGGATAACGTGTATGAATTTTAATGTGATGATCATGATACCCAACCTGAGTAATGCACTGAACAATAACAAGATGGAAAAACGATATCGAGATAATTACCTTCAAAACACCACACGGATACTATAACATTCTTTTTATCTCATTCTGTCAACTACTCATTTTCCGATTCTTATTGGAAATCTCTAGGGACAGATACAGGAACACTATTTTATGTTCTTATGTTGACTACTCTGCTCATATCATGAATATGGAGTTTCTATAATGTTCCATCGCATGGGAGATGAAATTATGTGAAGCTACATTTCACACTCTTATCAGTTTGAATATATATATATACACACATATATACACACATACATACACACACACACACACACACGTGACATCACACTTAACCACACTGAAACATACCTTGAAAACACTATACTACTACACAGACTATAGCATGGCTGGCTATCGTGTGTATGTTGGCATCAGCCAACGAAAGAAACTTCCCAAGTTTCAAGGAAATGTTTCTTACGGTGATACAGAATGATTCTCTAAGGTCGTGAATACGAAGCTGTAGTCTTTTGGGCTGTTGCACCATGTAGTCCGGTAGAAGTTTACCAGGCGACTCATCTGCCCGATGATGGAATCAGCAAGGATCTTTGAACGGTTGGTATACTTCTACCAGAATACATGGCACAATAATCCATAAGAGAGCCAACTTCAAAATGGAATATGCCAGGAGAGAGATTAGTCAGGGCTTGCTTTGTGTTTTTAATGAATGTACATCAACATTACATATAATTTTAAGGACAATAAATCGATAATACATCAGTAGTTGAAAATAATTTGACTTGGTTCTGATTGGCATCTTGGTGAAGCAGATAAGATACTTCGGCCTTTTGTACTTGTATGTTGTGGGAACATACTGCCATACTTGATTTAATATTTTGGTCTGGTTCCTCTATTCATGGGCAAGGAACTTATGAATTAGAGGATGGGGAGTACAGGTCCCTATGCAACATAATCGTGAGTCATCCATGGGAATCCAGGCATTTATTCTGAATAGGAAGTCCTTTGATATGGCTGGGAACAGCATGTATTGACAAATATCTTGCAATTTCTTGTCTCTAGGTTTCCATGGCTAGTGTTCAGTATGTAGCTGAATATGTTAAATTATATATCCTGGAATTTGGGAGAATTTTATTGTGACAATGTTCATACTTATAGGTCCTTTCTTGAGCATCGCTGTTTTATGATGCACTTTGACACTGGGCAGAACAATTCTGAGAATTGTACTTCTTGTATTTTGGGCAAGGGATAGAAATGTGTACAATTGCAAGCTACTTGACAGTGGGTAGGAAGGTAGTCACATGTATCTACTTGGTGACTTTATTTAAATTACACAAGCACAGAGTTGTTTATTTAATCATTACAAGAACTTCTTTCTTAAATGGTTTAATTACTCTCTACAGCTACTACATACTTCAGACCCCCTAACCACAAGCCCTTCTATCCAGTGTGCTGGGACAGAGGAGCCTGTGACCTAACACAGAATTGAAAACTTAACAACCAGAAAGGCAGGCAGTACTCTTCACAATTAATTGCATTCACAGTCTGTCTTATCATATAGATACTGGAAATAATTTGTAAAATATCTAGTGTTCTCTTTGGTTAACTTTGTTCATTCACATAATCTAAAATGTCAGTTAAGTAAACAAGGATAACAGGATCAGAATTTGTATTATTTAAGATTCCTTCAGTGAAGCCACAAACATAAACAATTATAATTTATTATTGTCAGTAGAGGTCTCCCAACAAGTCATGACATAAGTCTGCCTCTTGCACTACTGTTGCTTATCGACAGAAGCAAGAACAAGAAGAGATTTGCTGTGCACAGGTATGTGTGTTGGGGGGGGG